ATATATCACCTCATTGCTACAATAAGAGGACAGTTTATATGTAAAATGGCAGCACTGGTAATATTAATAGCATAATGCAGTTAAACATGAGCATTTGGAATTGACACTGGCTCAAGAGACACAAAGACTCAAAATTTAAAGTGATTTGTCAGCCATTTTTTGCAACCTTGCACTGTATATGTGGCTCTTCTCTGTCCCCCCTCTGTACCCCTCTGATCCTAGTATTACTTTGTCACTAAGTGCTTGGCTTACTTATATTTGGGGCGAACGCCTTGCCATCTTTTATTTCGCTGTAAAAAAAAGAGCAGTCTGGAGATCACTAAGGCATTCCAACCATACGGGTGCACCATGGGTAGGGCTTAAGCAAAACGAATGGCAAACGCACTCATCAACTCATAACCAGCTTTCAAGCAAAGTGCAAATGAAAGGGCTTTGTACAATAGCAGTGACACACTGGGGTCTCAGCTGCTGTTGTGATGTGCGGGGTCTCTTGTGTGTTCCTGTGCCTTTAAGGGGGTTGGGCTGCCTCCTAGCGAACCTGCACCCACTTTTATCATTTGCTACATGTGCTCCAAGATGGAGACTCTCATATGTTAGAGTTAGGACCGCACTACACAGAGGTGCCTTGACGAGGCAGTGCGGCTTTCACATATTCTGCAGAAGACGTGTATCTAAAATCTCTGTTTTTACCCTTAGAAGTTAGACAGTTTTTTTGTGCATGATGGGTAGGGCTTAGCCCCAATGTCAAAGAACTTGAGGCTTATGTTAACTTTAATTATGAAAGTTAGGGACTACATTCCTTTGTCTCCCACAAATAACATATACAGTATGTAGCTTTAATTTAGATAAGGAGTACAAGGCTCAATATGTACCTAGTGATTCTGCCAGTCCCCTTGTGTAGGAAGTCCTTCCTGACCACGCTAAGCACAGAAGCAGATCTGTTTTCTCTCTGGGACATATAGGAAGCTGTGAATAACGCTGGGCTTAATTCAACCCAGCAGAATGATGCCTTATTGCAGAGAAAAGTATTGCTGGGGGCAGACAGATTAAGGGTGAATATTTCAGCATAAATTGCTTATTCTTTAAATAAGCAATCAAGGAAATTTTGTATTAACCCTTGTAGTTGGGCTGCCCCTGCACTGCAAGGGTTAAGTGCTGTGTTTGGTCTAGGGAGGGAAATAAGTTAGTCGCCCGAACCTTGGAGTCGAACAGCTATGACAGTGCTCCCTCCAGCCTATCTCCTCCTCCACTGCAGCGATGTCCCTTGGAATCCTCCTGTCCTATACACTGTATAAAACGTGATGACTCACTGAACTTAGACCACTACAGCGGAGGGGGAGAGGGGCTCCAATGACTGGTCTAACAACAAGCCAGCTCTGAGGTTCAGATGAGTATAACTTCCTCCCTAGACCAAAAGGAGCACTTAACCTTTTCAGTGTGGGGGTAGCCTCACTGCAAGAGTTAATAAAAAATGTCCCCTAAGTTCTTCTTCAGGCAGCTGGGGAACCTTTTTTTACATTTTTGTGCGTACACAGTATGAAAAAGTTGGTAAACATTGGTCTAGCACAGATAGCAGTTCTAGTACTACAATAAAGGAGAAAGAAAACATTTACTTCCTGTCACACACACATTCATAAACTTTTTATTTTACTACATTTTTCTATAAACATTCAGAAAAACATTTACCATGAGGAAACTTTCAAACAAGTAACATAACCACGTAAGGAGATTAAATGTTAATTAGGTCAATCAGATGTTCTAATATTTTCAAAATGATGTATTAGTTTACATGAGACAGCAGCCCACAGACTGGATAACAGATAGAATACATGGTAACAAATAACAGTACTTTCTGCTAGAATTTACCTTTCAAACGCTTGCTTAAAATATTTTGTTTTATAAAGCATACTATTTATATTAAACATATTTCCAAATAAATGTCCCATTAAACTAAATTTCAGTTTTTAAGGATGTTTAGAAACAAATATTAATCAGCTGTCACTTACCAATTCTGATTTGGATGTCCTTGGTTTTCCAGATGTTTTTAGAGATCATGATTTAGATCTGTCAAAAGAGAAGCAGACAATAAAAAATACAGAGAATTAAATGCCATGCTTGCCCAAATGTTGCGGATCATGGCAGTGGGCAAAAATGGGTAATCGTTATCCTAGATAAAATGGTAAGTAGTAAAAGATTCATGCTCACATCTTCCCTTATACACACACAGTCTTAGCTCTGGTCTACCAAAGCCCAAGCTGGGTGGGAAGGCTTGCACCCAGCTAACCTTTAAACCATGTACGCCAAGCAAAAACAAAACCTGAAATCTTTATTTGGCAGCTGTAGAGTAGTGCACCTGTCACAGCTCTACGCAACCCAAGAATAAATTAACTGCGTGCTGACAATCACCCATGTACTTGTTGCTTGCATCATTTACTCACAAACATTAAGGACAGTAGGAACATATTAACTGCTTTTAACTAGGTAAATTAAATGCTGGAATAGCTTAGATATTATATATGAACTTGTACAGGACAGCTGCATCATGGGCTCCATTTTAAAATAAATATACTATGTAACAAGAACAGCATTTTAAAGCACATAACTCTCTTCCATCTAATCCCTGTCTCCTACCCCTTCACCACTAAGTGAAAAAAAAATAAAGCCTTCTAAAGCCTATTTTATACTTGCAAAACTCCCCTGTGTACCATGCCGGATCAGCTCTGCAGACTGAAGACTGGTGTATCCAACATTGTAGTATGGGCTGAAGGTGACTAGTAGCCTCCTTGTGAGGTCATCATTCTGCTGCAGATTTCTGGATCTTGAGAGGACCCTGCCCCTGAATAGCCAAGAGAAAGTATCCACATAATTTAGGCGGTGGCATGGATAACCAACGAAGGACCCTCCCCCCAGCGAAGAAGATAAAAGGCATGGGGCCCAGCTTGTCATGTGACTACAGATTTAGGTAAGTAAAGAAAGCTTTTAGATTTTTTTAAACAAACAGAGAAATTAGTGGGGGAGGGGGGTATAGAGAGTGGCCAAAGTTCAGCTTTAAAGTGTATTTACAACTTTGCAGTCAAATTTGAGAAACCCCCACAATACTTTATTTACGTGTTCCCATTCACACGGTATATCTAAAAATATGTTTTTTTTTATTTTTCCGACCTACCTAGTTGTTTCTTTGCATGCTTACACACAGGACTCTATAGACAGCTTCTATTGCTTAGGATAGCTTGCAATGTGTAATTAGGGGAGAAACCAAGGGAGAGTTTTTTTAAAAGTGCATTAACATACAATGTACCGTCCATGCCTTGAGATTTTATATTCTATGTTAGAATAAACAGCATGTATGATGGCTGTGCTCTCAGCCACTTAGGCTGTACAGAGATTATTTAGCTGATGGCTTAAAATACATCCTGCATCCTGACAGTAGGCCTGTGTCCTACCAAAAGATGCTATAATTGGGATGTTTTAAACGGATATATGATGGTCTGTTTTGTGTTGCTTCCATCTGGTCTGTGGTCTCCCAAAGTTGTTACCTCTACCTCACAGGCAGAGTTGAAGCTGGTTGTTTTGTCGCTGACTTGCGAATTTTGAAGAAATGAGGGGGGCACTATGTTCAGCATAACTTTACCATTCTTCCCACTCATTTGGGGGTTTACCAGGCCTCCTTATCATCACAGCGTGCACATCTAGATTAGAACTGATAATGACGATCTACCAGTGCAAAAAGGGTTAATTATGGTAAATATAACTTGCCAGCCTACTGCTTAACATTACATATATGAGAACAGCTATATATCAGGTAAAAATGTAAGCAGACTTTTTTTAAATGGTAATGGGAACATGTGACAAATATAAAATAGGTGTTATTCCAATTTGGCTGCAAACATGGAAATACACTTTAAGTTAAAATGTCCAAAGAAAAAATTGTTATACACCACAGTGCTCAGCATAAAGGATTCTTCAACATCAAACGTTGAGGGCGAAGGTTGCCGTCCTCAAGGCCAGTGGGAAGTATCCTCACATAACATGTAACACAAAATGAAACAAACAGCGCCTTCTCCTAGTGTATGTTGGATAGAGTAATAAAAAGTGATAAAAACTGCTCACATAGGGGAATGAGCAATGGGAATATATTGGTAATTCCTCTATAAGAGTAGTTTTTATCACTTTTTATTACTCTATCCAACATACACTAGGAGAAGGCGCTGTTTGTTTAATTTTGTTTTACACTTTAAGGTAATATAAGGGCTGATACTGTTCACATCCTTCTGAAATTCTAGTTGCGTGGCTACTCCCCCACTGGACTCAATATTTTTACCGACCCGGTTTAGGTATACAGATCAGGAAATTCAGAGCAAAGTCAGACATCCTTGTCTGCATACTTGTTCTGTGTTAGTGAATCAAAGTGCCAGAGCTTGAGGGTTAGCATAACTACCAGGTAACCAGAATCTTCAAAAAGGAAAGTCAGCCTACATATTTCTATCAATAAACAGTTCCATTGTTGTATTAAAGGAGTTTGTTTCCAAACCATCAACAATTCCACCATCACTTCAGTTTAAGAAACAAGGAATGAGGGCTCTTTTTTGTAGCAGCTTTCTCTAAAGATCACACATATTAAGCTTATATGGTGGTCTTCCTCATTGGTAACAAGGTCCCAGCAGTATTTTCAGAATGGCACATGCTCTTCATAATTTGCCTCTTAAGGGTATATTGATCATTGATTCACTGGGCAATTCACCAAATAGGTATTAGCCTAAGTGAGATTCAGCGGGATGCACCCTTAATTCCACAGTCACATTCACCCATTTTACAATAGCATAAATGCTGCTGCTGGGGAACAGCCATTGTATCTCACATATACAGTATTGGTCAAGAATCGGATTTAGCCTGCAGAATTTATCGGTAAACGGCTCTCCATGGTGCTGAAACTGTATGTACGCAATTTCAGCACTAGGAGGATTAATTGCATTTTATTTATTTATTTATTTATTGTAATGTTTTTATGGAGAGGCTGGTCAAATTCAATGAGACAAACTGGAACTTAATGATGACAGGTTTCAGCTGCAGTGGCTAGAGAATTCATCTGAAAATTGGCTCCTGCTTATTTCCTGATCTGCTTAGCAAAAACTAGAAGGCCTGACTATTGCCAAAACTGGGCATCCAAAGTAGTTTGCTGAGTGTCCAGGTTGCATGAGTAGAACACATTTTCGGCTGGGCACTTTAGCCCCTAGATTTGCCACATCCCATCATTAAGCTTCAATTTGTCTAACAGAACTGGATCAACCTCTCCAGATTATGTGCTGATTTCAAAAACAATCTCTTCAGTCTGGTCCCAGTCCTGAGTTGGATTTTTGATCAAATCAAGTTTATTCATTTTCAGACAGGAGAAAAAATATAACATATAACGCATATGTGCGAGGGGTATACAGGTATACAGGCAATTTGGTCCGCAGCACCCGGTACATTCCAGTAGTATCATGGTAATGGGTACTGCCCACATCATATACATTGAGAGCCTATGTGGCATACATCAAATGAGAGTAAATAACTGGGCAGCCCTTTACGGCTCCGTATACCTAGATAAACAGAGACCGGGGGGTGAGTTGGATTTTGACACCAAGTCCATTGTGGATGCTCTTAAATAGGCAGTAAAAAAGTAGGGATATATACCATGAGTTGAAACTGAAAACCAAGACTCTGCTGCAAATGTGAACAAGACTAGATGACAAATGGTCCAACAGCAGCACTACTAAGTTAGTAAAATTAGTACTACTGTGACTTGTGAGAATAGGAAATTCACATTAGGAGCCAGATGGCTGGGTACCCCAACTAGTCAGGGCTCATTGATGAAGGTGAGGTCATCAATGTTTTGGATTGGGTGTGTCTGTGGCAACCGTAGAAAAGTTTCTTCCGTGACCTGCTCCCCCTGCTTCACATGCTTCTTCGTGAAGGAATCCCCATTTAAGTTGGTGGTTTATTACATATTTTGGCTTTCAGGAGTTCATAGAGAGAGGGGAGGCGATCACCAAAGGAACTTGACATGGCATGAAAAGTAATTATAAATGTACAGACTCTTACAGCACCGTCTTCACCATTCCATAAAGCAGGGGTATTTAAACTTCAGCTCTCCATCTGTGGTGAGACTACAAATCCCATAATGCCTCCACCTCTGGAAGTCACGCCGATAGCTGTCAGAGTCTTGCAATTCCTCACTTGTAGTAGACTTGCAGACTTGTAGTTCTACCACGGCTGGAGAGCTAAAGTTTGGTTACCCCTGCCCTATAGGGAAAAAGCCCATTGGAAAACAATCCATAAGAAAGTCTGAAATATGGAAAAACATTTGAAAAGAAACATCTGATGGTGAAGCTGAACGCTTTGCTCATTTAAATTCTTCATAGGAACAGAACCTGACAACATGTTAAACTTTTATTAATGTTTCCTGTTAAAAGGTATTTGGAAAGAGTACAGCAAATTATTATCTAGCAAAAACGAATCCCATACTACATGTAAAATGATGCAACAACCCTCTCCAGCTTTTTTCTCCCCATTTATAAGTAACTGACCAGAAAGGACAGCTGGGTTAGCCGTTGACGGTTAACAGAGGTACGCTTTAGGCTAGCTAACGCATAACTGCACTTAACTGGTTGGAAATAGCAAAACATAGAGAAATAAGTCAGACTGACAAAAAACATTTTTATAACATAAAGAGAATGACTGTGATTGAAACATTTCTTATTTTTTAGCTCTTTAAATACAAATGTTATCTTTAAATTGTTTAAACAAACAAGCTTCCAACTCCTTCATCGTTTCTTACACTTATCCTCCTAAAATGTGAAGACTTTCCCTATTCAGCTAAGATACCTCTTCTGCCTATATTAAGAAGAAACCAAGCTAACTGAACATCAGGATACCGTTTTACCATGGACCTGACCTGGCCTAATAGTAGCCAAGGTGACAATACTGCTGAAGAGCAGCACCTTGTGGTACCTGTGTTAGGGCTGACGTACACAGGGTATTGTTCCACTGAGAACTGCCGGTACAAAT